GTAACATTTATTGATGACTATTCAAGGTTTTGTTATGTTTATTTATTATTCTCTAAAGATGAAGCCCTTGACAAGTTTAAAATCTACAAGAATGAAGTAGAATTGCAAACTAACGGTAAAATAAAAAGGCTAAGAACTGATAAAGGTGGAGAGTACTATAATCCAAGTTATTTCCAATCAATAGGATTAATACATGAAACAACCGCGGCGTATACACCACAACAAAATGGTGTAGCGGAAAGGAAGAATAGGACATTGCAAGAAATGGTTAATTCCATGTTGTCCTATTCGGGTTTAAGTGATGGATTTTGGGGGAAGCCGTTTTAACGACTTGTTACATTTTAAATCGAGTTCCTATGAAAGGGAATGAGGTAACCCCATATGAGCTATGACACAAAAGGAAACCAAACTTGAGTTATCTCAAAGTTTGGGGTTGTAGAGCAATAGTAAAAGTGCCGGAACCTAAACGTAAGAAGTTAGGTGAAAGAGGAGTGGAATGCATTTTTATAGGATATGCGGAACATAGCAAATCCTATAGGTTCTATGTGATAGAACAAAATGATTATTGGTCGGTTCATACCACCATTGAGTCTAGGGATGCATTGTTTGATAAAAGTATATATTCATCAATTCCTAGACAATAAGATATCACTCCAAGTACGGAAGCTCAAAATTTTGATCAAGAAGTAGATGAGCCATCTACGTCATCACAACCTAGGAGGAGTAAGAGGGCAAGGAAAGAAAAATCCTTTGGTCCGGATTTTCATGTGTATTTAGTTGAAGGATCAAGGCAATCGATTTCAACTAAGTTTCCATACATTTTTAATGTAGAAGATGCTCCTATGACATATAGTGAGGCTATGAGGTCTCATGATGCTCCATTTTGGAAGGAGGCAATTAATGATAAGATGGACTCCATCATGGGAAACAACACTTGGGTATTAGCTACTTTACCTCCTAAATGTAAACCTATTGGGTGCAAATGGATCTTCAAAAAGAAATTGAAGGTTGATGGAACTATAGATAAGTTCAAGGCATGGTTGGTTGCACAAGGCTATACACAAAAGCCGGGTATCGATTATTTTGATACATATGCACCGGTTGCAAGAATCTCAACTATAAGGTTTTTAATGGCTCTTGCGGCAATTAAAAATCTTGTGATCCATCAAATGGATGTCAAGACCGCATTCTTGAATGGAGATTTGGAAGAAGAGGTTTACATGCGACAACCGGAAGGGTTTGTTGTGGAAGGCCAAGAGCATAAAGTTTGCAAGTTGATTAAATCTTTGTATGGGCTTAAGCAAGCACCCAAGCAATGGCATCAAAAATTTGATGAGGTTGTGTTGTCTAATGGATTTAAATTGAACAATTCAGACAAATGTATATATAGCAAATTTGATGACAACGGTGAAGGTGTCATAATTTGTCTATATGTAGATGACATGTTGATCTTTGGAACTAGTTTGTCACAAGTTGAGTTGACAAAGGCTTTCCTTAGCTCAAAATTTTCCATGAAAGATATGGGAGAAGCGGATGTCATCTTAGGAATAAGAATAAAGAGGGAACAAGGCAAGTTGATTTTGACACAATCTCATTATATTGAGAAGGTGCTCAAAAAGTTTAATGTTGAGGACCATTCAACATCTCTTTATTCAACTCCTATGGATCCTAGCATTAAATTATTTCCTAATGAAGGTACTGCAATTTCACAATTGGAGTATGCTAGAGTTATAGGATGTTTGATGTATGCCACGACAAGTACAAGACCGGATATTGCATTTGCGGTAGGTCAATTGAGTAGATATACTAGTAATCCTAGTATGCAACATTGGCAAGCAATTCGCCGTCTGTTGAAGTACTTGATGAAAATCATAAATTATGGTTTGTGTTATAGCGGGTTTCCTTCGGTTGTAGAAGGATACTCGGATGCAAGTTGGATCTCTAATAAAGATCATTCATCCACAAGTGGATGGGTATTCCTATATGGAGGAGGTGTCATTTCATGGGCTTCTAAGAAACAAACTTGCATTGCGGACTCCACAATGACATCGGAGTTCATTGCATTGCATTCAGCTGGTAAAGAAGTTGAATGGTTGAAGGATTTAATGCATGAGATACCCTTATTGCCAAAACCGATATCACCAATAGTGATACATTGTGATAACAATGCAACTTTGGCTAAGTCATATAGCCAAGTTTACAATCGTAAGTCAAGGCACATTGGAGTTCGTCATAGCTTCATACAAGGACTTATCAAGGATAATGTCATTACTATTGATTATGTTCGAACAAATGTTAATCTCGCCGATTGCTTCACTAAGGCATTGGCTAGAGATGTAAATAAAAGGATGGCAATCGGTTTAGGATTGGAGGCCTAAATAATTACAAATGAGGGAATCTCAACTTGACGCCCAATAAGACATTGGGTCTCAAGTTCAACGAGATCAATTTCCTTATTTAATAATTGGGAACTTGTTTTTTCGTCCTAGGTAAGTTCCGGATTCTCTGTGATGTATAAGAGGTTGCTTCGCTTAATAGATTTCCTAATATAATGCTTTGTCACAGGAGCATGGTCTTTGGAAGTCTACCTATGTAAGTACGAGGGGTAGCCGCTTCAAGAAGCTAATTTGGGCATAGCTTTGATGTACTTATGAATAGATATGGACTCATGGCTTAAAGTGTCAAGTATAAAATGTATTCAAGTAATAGACTTTGTGTGTAGAGTATCTTCAGGTCTCCAATAAGTGTCGAATTTGGTTCAATTGTTTAGCAACACCAAATGGATACGGATTCTTGGAATGTGTACTACAGTAAGTGGGAGTTCAAGTCTGAGTACACTCTCATTTATGCATAAAGTTGTTTTGTGATGATGAGGTTTTTGCAATGAGTCTTGTATAATACTCTAAATGGGGGAGGATTGTAGAATTATTTAGAGTATTAAGACTATTTTCATGTTAATACTCTTAATTTGCTTAGGTAATGGTGTAGCATTTTGGGTTTATTAAGTATTAGAGCAAGTAATACAATTTATACATTGTATAAATTAGGTCAAAGGTTTTAATCTATAAGCAAGAAATTAAAGTGACCGTTGATTTCTTGATCGGTTATATTATTTGCTTTTGAGTATTATGTATACAATTATAATTAAAAAATAAAATAAAATTGAATGACGGTTGCATTCAATGTTTGACGGTTGATGTTTCATGCATCATGCCTTTTGGAAGTTTGGTTGCTCTAATATATATATACATATATATGATGATTAAAGTTGTCCGAGAGAAAAAAGCAATAGAAAAAGTCAGTTTTCTGGTTTCCATTCTCTAACAATGTTCCCAATATTTTCATCATCACAAATACAAACCACTTGAATCATTGTGATTACAATTTGACTACAACAAATTATAATTGTTCCGTTTTATCTCCTAAGTGAAATTTTCGTGAAACCCGGTTGTAGTATTAGGGTCAAAATTACACTTTTGGGAAAGTGATTCCGTTCACGACTCGGATAAATTTCTCTGTTTTCATTTCCATATTTCTTTGTAATTTCCCTTGTTTACTATTATCCCCAACACTCTCACAACTTTATGCATTTATTTTTATGCCACTTTATTATTTCACTTTTATTATTTAAAAAATAAAGGTAAAATAATATATGTGAGATGAGATATATTTCAATGTTAATCTCAGATATAAACTTAAATTTTCCCCTTTTTATTTACCTTTTTACAACATAACTCATTTTTATTTATTTATTTATTTATTAAACACAACAGAACTCATATAATTTACTATAAATGGCTCTCTTTTAAAATACGTAGGAAATTTTGCCTCTCTATTTTGTGGGTTATACCAAACTAATATTATTGGCTTAGGGTTAATGATTAATGATTTCATATTCCTTTGAAAGTGGCTGAAAATTGGATTTGGTTGTAGTTTAAAGTATTTGGTAACGTTTTTTTGTTATAAATAAACTTTGATGGTTATAACCCGTAAAATGAGTACTTTTATCGGTTGTAATTGACACATTTTTCAAATACTTATACATTCATATATTTTGGACAATATCAATGACCTTGTGTGACATTTTAAAATCGAGCCATTTATAAACAAAAGTTTTTCTTACAACAAAACTTTACCAAATTCAATGTGTGGTTCCTAGAAGCGTGGGTACCTAGCGTCATACAATCGTTTTGCAGAAAGAACATATTATGCAAATGTAAAAAACATACAGTTGTAGTGAAAAGAACATACTATATAAATATTATGAACATATACCTAAAGTAAAAAGAACATATTTGCACCAAAAAAGAGTGAAAAGAACATATATCCATGTTATTTGATTATCAGTGTAATGTACTTTTATTTGTGATATAATGTCCATTGCTTATTGTGAAATGTTCTTTTAATTTTGTCTTAAAATTATGGTGGATATATATAAATAATGTTCATTACATAATATTTTCATGTTCTTTATTAATATTACAAATGCTCTTTAAATATTTTAAAAAAAAAATTAGATGTTTTTTGCAAAAGAGCTATATGTTTTTTACAAAATAACTTTATGTTCTTTACAAAACAACTACATGTTTTTTCCGCGTTTTTTATCTGTACCAAGTAAGGTACAGGCTGTTGTACCTTAAAATTTTCATACCAAAGTAGCTAATAAGCTTCACAAAACTCAAATAATTAATTATTGATCCACATTCATTTTTTCTTTGTATATAGTGATGAATACCAAATTTTAAGGCCATTTATTTTCGGGAGTCCTGTGTAGTTGCTCACTCTGACTCAGAACCACCTTTGTTTTGAAATAAACTCACATGTTATCTAACTTCGAAGACTAAAAATTAAGGTTTTTGCGACCGAACATATTTTCTTAATTGATATATGCAAGTGTAAAGTGTTGCGATTTTTGTGAAACGAAGAAAGTAAAGTGTAACAACGTTGCTTACTAACTTGTGATTCTCAACATAGATGTACTATGGGGATGTCAATGAGTGTTACTCAAATTGGTAAGAAGGGGTTATTGTCCTTATTGAGCAATATTTCTGTTCACAAGTTATATAAGCTTCAAGAATCAAAATATATATACACCATAAAATATGTTCAAACAATTTATTATGTACAAATAATGCATTCCTTATTCCTTAACCTACATTTAAAAATCGAAGTACTCTTTGTTTAACACCAAACTCAGGATGCAAAACTGATGGTTAATGCCACCATGACCGAGATCATACTCACTGCCTTTAGCAACCTCGAGGATGATGATGATGGAGTAGGGCTTCCATTCTTCGGAGTCTTAGTAATATCGATCATTATTTCGAATCGACATCCACGTTGTGAAGGATCAGTTGTAGTAGTCATTGCCATATTATTGAAATTACATGCACCAGCACTCTGGTTCTTAGTCTGATAGTACATGTTAAACACATAAGACGCGTTACTTCTAGCATCCAAGTTACCACAAGAAGAGCCGTATGCAAGTGAAGTGCAGTCAGCAAATTGGCAAGCATAGCTAATGCTGCTGGCAATAGTTGACGGAGAAGGACTCGCTTGAGGAGACATAACACACCACTTTTTAGGCAAATACTTAACCCCTTTTGCAGGAACAAGGGTTTTACCTCTTCCTATGTTCAATTGATACTTTAAACTGCCATCATAATTGAACATCCCCCAATGCCTCTCAAAGTTCCCTGGATCTACACTCTTTGCATCTTCGTCGATGAGGGAAAATATGTAAACATCTGGTGGTGTATGGCGTTTAGGAGTGCCCTTACCTTGGATGATCCTACTGATAAGCCCTTGGTTAAACTTTTTAGCATTGGCTATGTTTGCATTAGGAGCACCGTCAGTAGGCCACCCTACTTCCCCTATGATAATGGGCATGTTAGGGAAGCCGCTCTTCTCTAGGGCTGCTATAAGGGTATCATAGTTGGCGTCAAAGACATTGGTGTAGGTAACAGGGCCATCGACTATAGGGTGTGATCCACCCTCGAAGAAGGCAAAATCCATGGGGAAATTGGGGTCACTGTTAAGGCTGAGAAATGGGTATATGTTAACCATTATAGGGGCAGCATTATTACTGAGGAATTTGACAATAGATATCATGAGGTCATGTATATCAGCTCGAAAACTGCCTCCTGAAGGAAGAGTGGTATCAGATTGGTAGACATCAGCATTCAATGGGACTGTGGCCTTCACTTTGTGTGCTAAGCCGGCTTTGATAAGGGCAGCTTGGATGTTCTGCAGTGCTGGAAGTGTAGTGTGGGTGAATTGGTCTCCGTAATCTTTTAGAAATGGCTCGTTTCCAACAGCAACATATCTGACATTTTAAAGATGTTAATGTTCATCCAGATTTTGCAGTTCTATGGAAAAAAAAATGTTTAGCTAAACAAATCCATGATATATATAGTGATTACAACGATATATGCACGCGTTATTACCTTATATTAACCCCGCTGTTGGAAACATAAGTGGAGATATTCTGGTTCACCCAGTTGACAGCAGCCTGAACATTCCCAGCAAGGGATGCTAACATGTTATTAGGAATTCCTACCATAACTTCAATACCTGAATTCCCAAGAGCTCTAAGTGCGCCATGATTTGCTTCAAAGAGCTTTACTTTGTTAAACCCATTGTCCTTGAGCAGCTTCACTACTATTTCCGGGGGTAGAGGATGAGTCGAAATCATCCCCCAGTTGACACCCATACCCAGACCGCCTGCCACTAAACATGCACCAATTATAAAGAACAACAAACACCCGTGTGATTCGTGTGATCCCATTTTCTGTAATTTTGTTTTCTAGCATTGATTTGGGGTTGTGGTCGGCCTTGAAGCGATTATAAGTAGGAGTTTGAGTAAATGTTAAAAGACAAACAAATGCTGGAATAATGGGAAAGAAAGGGAAAGAGAATTCATGAAGTTATGATAAGGAATTTGATACCAAAACCTTTGATTCGTAGCCTGCAAGAGGGAAAAAAGGGGAATCTAACAAGAAAAGAATCATATAACATTTATGTAAATTTTTTAAGTTTATACTTTTGTTTGACTTCTTTTGGAGACATGGACACCTTTTTTTTTTTTTTTTAACTACTTTTCTGCCGGATTATTTTATCTGATACCATATAATTGACATTGCCAAAAAAAGTAGAAAGGGCGTCTTTTTTACAGGGGAAATCCAATTGTTCTTCTAATCTAGCAAACTTTCTGCAGCAGAAGTTGCATCACCCTGATTTTGCCTGTAATGCTTTTCACCTTAAATCTGAGTTATCCGGATCACTTTGACCACTGTACTGTTTCAAAAGGCAAAACTCACTGATTTCGACAATTATTTGGTTAAAATTTTTATTAATGGGATAATAAGGAATAAACAGCATAACTCTAACCGTGTTGAGTGTACAAAACTTCACTCAACGCTGGGAATCTCTCAACTAGTTCATAATAATACAATAGGTTACAGATACAGCAGCAAGAGCATAGCCATCATTTGATACGCAAAACTGAGATCCAGTCTCTTGCGAGGCGAGGAAATGAACACTGACCGTCACGCCAATCCTTCTCCCTCTATCTTTTTCTTCATTTTGTACTGCAAAGTGGCGGGAGCACAATCTAACGGCGTCTCCCCTGCAAGATGTTGAGTGGTAATTAAAGATTGCTACTCTGAGTCAATAGTAACTATATATGTATTTGTTAAAAAAGCAAAAAGATCGCGTTCAGGCTCTATTCTTTACTGCCCTTATAGATTTGATCTCAACACATGTTTTATGAGCAGGACAATAAACAAGTTACCTAGAACCTGTAAGTTGTATATAGATCATAGATGTAGCCATGTAGGTCATGTAACCATTAAGGTGGAATGTGACATAGAAGACATCATTGCACCATGTAACTTTTAGGGAAATTTCAAGAGCTTTTAAGTCCTGTACAATTTTCATTCTGGTTTAAGATATATTTGAACATCCCAAGGGGTGCTAATAGGCCTAGCTGGCTCATGAGCAAATTGTTATCGGCTTGAGATTTTCATGGGCTAAGCTCAACTTGTGGGGCTATAAAATATTTGCATTCTATGATTTTACATATTACATAAAATTTACTTGTAATTTATACTTCATTAATGTGGCACAGACTTTACGAGGACCATGCTTACCTAATTGCCCCACAAAGCAAGAATGGCAAATTAATACGTGAAAGTGGTACATTTTGGCCTAATTTAACAATACATGGTAGCAAATTGCATACCCGTACCCAATCTCATACTAGTGTTAAAACCTAAAAAGGATATTTACTTGGTTACAATTTCCAGGTTTTTTACAAAGTTAGGATTGGCTCATTATCACCCCTAGACACCTGCAACAACAACATAAAAAATCTAAAAATAACATGTATAATTACCTAGGGAGTTCTTGCAGTCCAATCTAGCACCATGATCCATAAGGCAAAAAACTATTTCAGTTTGATTGAAAACTGCAGCCTGTAAAAAAGATTGACACCATTTAATCAAAAAGGGGGGAAAAAAAGAAAAACCACACACTAATTGTCAATTTTAACCACCAAACTGCATTCATTTGGAAATTGGAAGTCATCTTCAAAGAGATATTTACCAGGTGAAGCAACGACAATCCTTGCTTGTCACAATAATTTGAATCCACACCCTACGAGAAAGTAGATATATTAGTTTAAGATCATCAGATTCATCGCATCAAAGCAAGAGGGGAGCAAAATATGCAAATACCTTTTTAAGAAGATCCTTGACTCCAGCAAGATCACCACTTTTAATTGCTTCTCTTAAGCCCTGAGAAGCAAAAAGAGCACAAGTAAACTCAATCGAGCGCATAATAAGGAAAAAAGTCAGCCTTGCTACAGGACAATCTACTCTCTAATCTGCATACCTCCCCATTCACTTCATAATTTGCCTGAGGTTTCTCTGAACCACTAGCTGAAGGACCAACACTGACACTTGAACTGCAAGCAATATTAACATTAGGTGGTTACAAGAGAACTTCCAGAAATCCATCAAATTTGAATGGATAATGTTTAGACCATAAGAGTACACAAAAAAAAATTTATAACAAGGTATTTAAAATTGTTTCTCCCTCATAATATAGTTAATGATAAAATAGCTAATAGAAGGTGTTGGATTTGGAGTGTTCCAAAATATGTATCACACAATTGTACAAATCTAAACAGCAATCATACAGTTTCAAAGTTTAGTATGTATAAAGTAGATGTCAGATGTCTTTAAGATCTAACGCACATTCTCAAATCAACTTATAAACTAAGTGTGAAGACAAGTGTGACCATACCCTTGTCTGCTATCTTGAGCAGAACGTCTTTGCCTTGAAATGCCATCTGTCTTCTTTGTTGTTGAAGATAAAGTTGCTGAAGAAGTGGTTACAGTCTGCTTTTGAGCATATGGAAAACAGAGCAAAATAAAGATAACAAGTACGTACTAATTGAACATTTGTGTCAGAAATTCCTCGAGTTTCAGGCACATGAAACAAATGACTAGATAGCAAGTATTAATAAATGTGTCTTAACCTGAACAGGAGCTGCTGGAGCAGGTGGAAGTGAAACCAAGCAAATGCACAAAGGCATACCACATTTGCATTCTGGAATATTTGATACAGGTGGCTGCAGTGCAGATGATGAAGTTGTATGTCCTGAATCTTCATTTAAGTCTAAAGTTGAAATAGCTTCTGAGATGGAATGATTCCTTTGTGTTGTAGGCCCTACACTGCCATCCGTAGATCTACACCAAAATAAAATCAATTTATCGCTCAAAAACTTGTACAACTTCAACAGAAAGAACAAGACAGATTACGAATGAATGTCTCGACTGCTCTGAATAATGATTGAATCTCAAGCATAACGTAGAGATAGGACTGAGAGCCCAAAATTAAGACATGTTAGTGAACATGCTTCATTTTTCTTTCAGTGACATGACAGAGCCTTCCATACTACATGTTGAGGATGGATCTCCCAAAAGTTATTCTAGAGTTACAAGATGCATTAATAATAAAAGTTTCATTATCAGCTCAGCTTAGATTTATCATCAACTACAACTAAAATTTTGTAAGGCTATTCTTTAGGAGGAAAATGAGTTAAGGTTACCTAACACAGAGTTCACGTCAAACACGACAAGGATACATGCAAGCCACTACACTAGAAATAGGCCCCGATGGGAGCATAAGAGATCACACATACATCTGTTTAATAATCACCGGCCAAAGAAAACTATTCATTGAAACATAGTTTTTTTTTTTGGTATGTGAAAATACAAGGTAAATCTCTAACAATGCTACTTGTAACTTGTCTCTACCTTCTACGACAGGAAACAGGAAATGGTTTGATAGCTTCATATTAAAAAGCATCATCTAGTTCTCTAATTGCATTTTGGAAGTACTAGAACAAGTTATCAGAATATCAGACTGATCACTGACCAGTGAACACTTCCCGGTTACATAATTATACACTGTATAAAATCTAGTACAGCATGAGATTGATAGCTGAGGAAATATTCAAGAATATCAACCATCATGTCCAATATTCAAGTGATGTTCTTTTAGGAGTAGGTGCAAGACTACAGGAGTTTTAATAAGAAGTGTTTCTATTACACCGTCCACTCTTCCTCAACTTCTTACCAAGACATATTACCGTCATAGACACCTACCACATAATGGAGATACAAAAATTTCACTACCACGTACTCACATAGAATAGGAAAATTATGGTCCTAAAAAGAAGAAGAAACACTTACTTGGAGAAGTTGAAACAATCAGAACAAACTCTAACATTGGTGTGAATGCCAAATTGTGGTAAAGGCTGAAGAAAAAGCAATTACTAACATATGAGATGCAGTTTGATCAACAAAGACCAATTTAATATATATCAAAAGCTAAATAGGAGACTAAATCATATAAGATCCTTACCATTTGATCAGATGAATGCTCATTACATAGGGTCCTCCCACAACATCGGCAATGATGCTGCAAAAGAAGGAAAGAATGAGAAGAGCAAAGCGAGAAAATAAAGACATATACTTGAGAAAATTACTGGTCTTTGGTAGCACCATCAATTCCCTCTTCTAACTCTTATCCGTCACAGCATTCTTAAACCTTAGCCATTATACCATCAATCTTACTACAATGCCTTAAAAAGGGGGATATACAGTTTACATCGACTGTTTTTAATAATTTCATCAATCATTGTTATAGTCCTGAGTTCCTGACCCTTCTAGTCTTCGAATGAAATTTGTTTCTAAAAATAAAGAATGAGAAATTAACCAGCAAGCAACACACCTTAAGTTCCTGGGGTGAGTAGTGAAACTAGTAGGTAAAGCAAGAGTTAAACATTTCCTTTTTCTTCTCTTTTCATAATTTGTAAGTACACGATCTACAATTCAATTATCAGAAGTACTTTCTTTTTATTAATAGTATTTCAAAATTCAAGGGTTATAATGTTTAAAGTGGCTTATATTGTAGTGTTGAATATTAATGCTACCCAAAATGGAATTCTTGGATCTGCCATTGCTCAACTCCACTAAAAATGGGCAACCTTTCCAACCAAAATGAATGACAAACTACTAAAATGCATACTCCACCACTGTTTAAAGACTTTAAACCCTAAATTTAATCCGCCCCACATTCCACTGGAAAAGGCGAAAAACCCTTCGAGTCTGAATTTGTATCTATATACTAGAACTTTAAACATAACTCAACCATAATTGGTCAAATCAGCACACAAAATCCCCATCAAACTAATTGATCATTGTTTGAACAAAACCGCAATAATTATACTTAAATCAAAGCTTAAAGTTGCTTAAAAAAAAAACCCAATAATCTAGCAGAAACTAACAACATAACCTAAATCCTATAATTCAACATAATTTCCAGCATCCCCGGATAAATTAGATCTGATCATCAACTAAAACATACCTTAAATCGCAAAACTCCAGATAATTCAACAATTGAGCTAACTAAATCACATAAAATTATCCTTCAAAATTATAACTTCCCCAATAAATCAAACATTTAAAGCAGAATTCAACGAAATCAACGGAAAAGAGGAGAATTGATGAAATACACGACGACGAAAAGCGTTGAAGCTGCATTTACAGACGTCGCAGCGGTTAGCTTCCTGAAACGGCGGCGGCTCCGGCATC